AATCTTTGATATTACTGCCAATGTTTTTGGTATGATATTTGGGATACCTGACCCAATTAATAAAGTGGCTTTTTATTCTTTATGGTTGTGCTCCTCAATCAGCAGTGTTTGTAGATTGTTTAGGTACTTGTGGAAATCGTACCTGAGAGTGTGCACCCTGTTCAAATATCTTGTTGCTGTTTATTTAATCTGATTTAATTCAGTTAGTGTGCCTACCTATTTTAATTATTTTGAATTTTTAATACTTTGTCAAGAATCCTTTGCAGAGAATGACTGCTTGAAGTCTGGAAAGCATGGATTTCATCAAGTGATTTATGGTGCTTTGCCAGGACTTTACTACAGCTGTCTTCAGTTGTTGTTAATTCGTAGGTCTTCCTGCCTTAAGCTTTGTCTTCAGCAAATGCAATGCGTGCTAGTTTGGGTTGAGACCAGGTAACTGACTTGGAAATTGCAGAATATTCCACTTATTTGCCTTAAAAAAACTCCTGGGTTGCTTTAGCAGTGTGTTCCGGGTCATTGTCCATCTGTAAAGTAAAGAGGCGTTGAAACAACTTCACTGAACTTGGCTGAATCTGAGCAGACAATATATCCCCATAAACTTCAGAATTCATCTGACTGCTTCTGTCTTCTGACATATCATACATAAACACTAGTGATACTGTGCCATTGGAAGCCATACATGCCTATCCCATCACACTGCCTCCACCTTATGCCACAGGTGATGTGGTATGCAAGTGAATATCCTCAAGTTAAAGCTGAGAAACTGCACTTTAAGCCCATATTCATTATTTAGCTGTAAGTAGAGTTTTTTGGTAAACAGCTGAAATAACAAAGCTTGCATCAGTGTTCAAATATTACCAGAACTAACGGTAGATTAATTGTAAATAAATACAATAGATACAAATATATAAAAAAAAGTATTGCCAGACACACAAAAACATGTTAATCATATAATAAGAAAAAAAAGAAAAATTGTGCAAACACAAAAAAGTCAAAAACTCTATAAAACAAATTGTATAAAATAGTATAATTTAATAATGGTAAAAACAGTAAATCAGAAAAAAAAAATCAACTCAAAATCACAGTTAAGACACTTTGGTTCTAGTGTGTCCATAGTAAAAATCCACCTGGCTGCCGTCTTATCCAGCTCCCTATCTAGATTCTCACACCTCCAATGAATGTTAACTCTATCTATAGCCATCCCACATAACCCTTGGGGATTTTTGTAGTGGAGCATACTAAAATGCTTATAAATATTATGTCACTTTTTAATATTGATCATGTGTTCCATAATCGTACCTTTAAGAGCTCCTTTGGTCCTCCCAATGTATTGCTTACCACATGGGCATGCTAGTAGGTAAATCACTCCTGTGTAGTTGCATATGACATGACAACTCATTTTAAAATTCCTTTTTGTAATAGATAAAGCCTGAAATCTGTTTGATCTTTTTGATCCATTTTATAGCTTTCACAGTTACCACATTTAAAAAAAAAGTTATTTTAGTTTGAATAGCCCTATTCCTAACAGTGGGTGCAAGATGGGTCTTTAGATTAGAGGACTTTGAAAATGCAGCTTTTGGACAATCACTAAGAAACATATTCAGTACTGGTTCGCCTTTGAGGATATGCCAATATTTATTTATTTTTATTTAATGTAACTACATTGTCCTTGTTATTGAATCTGGTAATGAACATGGGGGTGTCTTGGTAAAATGTTAAAGGATATTTTTATTACTAATTCATTTTTGTGACCTAGGTTATTTAATTCACTCTCTATAGCCTTATCTAACAATTTCTCATTGTAACTCTTTCTGAGAAATTGTTGTCTCATTTCTTCAACTTGCAGATGTGTACTTCAGAACAATTGTGACAAATACATGTAAACAGGCTAAAAGGGATAGTATCCAGGCACATTGTGTTATGATGGCTGTGTGAGGGGATAAATCTGTTGCAGTCTATTGATTTCCTAAAAGTCTTGGTATGTAGACTGCCAGCTTTCACATAAATCTCCAGATCTGGAAATTTTATCGTTTTTCTAGACTGATTGAATGTGAACTTCAAATTGTACGGAAAATAATTCAGGCAATCTTTGAATTTATCCAGAGTATTCCATCTTTCCTTCCAAATAAATATACAATCATTGATGTATCCTCTCCATAAGACTAGGCTTGTCGGAATGGGCTCTTGTTCCAAATTAATTCATCCTCTCATTTGTCTAAGAAGGTTGTGTAGCTTGATGCAAACCTAGTCTCCATGTTATTAGCCTCCATCTGTAGGTAGAACACCCCTGTGTTCCTAACGTTATTGTATTTGAGATAAAAGCCACACATTTTACAATAAATGAAATGTGATTGTTTTCCAACTCTGAATATGTGGCTAGAGAATATTGGATTGCTTTACACCTTGAATATTTCATAGATGTACCTCCTTCTAAAAGAGAAATTAGTTGACAGGATCAGTATCCAGTTTCTGATAGGTTTCTTTGTCTCTCAGGAGATGTTAATTATGAAGTTTGTAATTGCTTGAATTGAGTATCACTAGACCTTCTCCTTTATCCGCTGATTTTATTATGATCTTTGGATCATTCATTAAAGTTAAGTGCATGTTGGCATTCCCTGGATATGTTATTCTTAGAGTTAAGTTTTACCTTAAGGAACCTAAATTTTTTTTCCATTTTACACACATTCCACACACATTTTTCTACACACACACACATTGCCTGTTAGATGACATGTTTATCAGCGCGAACGTTGAAGCTGTTTTACAAAACCTACATTTAGACAAAGTAAACATACAGATGTGTGAATTCCAACATGATAGTTTGGAGTTCTATCCTACTGTCAATAAATAGTGTACAATATCAGTCTCCACACGACTAAGGAAAAGTGAAAGCACTGGTTCATGCTCCTACTCCTGTCAATGTCAAGCTATGTTCTTATTCAGGTTTTATTAGAAAATTATTGATTCTTTCCAAATTTGCCTCATATACTTTATCCACTACACTGTCATTTAGATAGTTAAACAGAGTGGGCCTTTGAATATTCCAAATAACTTCTTCAAATGCAAAGGCATTTGAACACTCCAAAAAACTTCTTCTCGAATCAGGGCTTGTCCACTATAACCTTAAAAACATTTGGTACTAGCCTGTGATGCTTCACTATGTAGTTTTGGTGCAATGCTTTCACATATCATGCCTGGTTCTAAACATTCTGTGTCATTTGCATGCAGATCTCCATCTCTGGCTGAGAAAAATTATGCCCAGATTCATTGGAAAGCTCTAGCAATGATTTTGACTTTGAAGAAATTCCACATCTATAATTATGGCAGACCTTTTACACTGATCATGACTCATAAACCAATATTGTTAATTTTACACCCTCAAAAAGGTATCTCTAGTACAATAGCAGCTAAGCTCCAGCATTATGCACTGATTGCAGTTTAAGACTACGCCATCAAATATATATACCACAATGATTATACAAATCTGGATTTATTTTCAAGATTGCCAGTGGTTTACCACATGGCAGTAACTTCTTAAATTATAGAAACTCCTCCTCAGTTTAATTACTTCCATGCCCATATATGGTGCGAATCGGATGTAAACTGTCACCTCTAAGATGGAGGTACTTCCAGTTTTTGGTACTCTGGAAAGTACAAACTGCCATCTCTAAGATGGCTGCACATTCACATAATATGGCATAATAACAGATATTCAATATGGCGGTGTGCTCACTCGCATTGACACTTTCCCACCCAATAGAAATGCTTATTGAGGGTGTCAAAAGTTTTTAAAAATGAACCTCTGAATTACGTACTTTAGTACCCAAAGGTCTTAATGGAGACTTTATTGGTATTTTTTATACCAAAAAATATTTTTTAACAAGTACACTTATTTTATTTATGGCATTTATTATTGTTTATTATTGCTGCTATTGTACATTATTTCTGATATTTGACCCCTTTTATTCTGACATATTATTGTCTGATATATATTCAACTGTCTTGTTTTGTCTTTAATGCTGTCCTGTCATATGCCCCTATCTAGAATGACACTTTGGCGATGTAGTAAGAGGCTGAATGCCATAAAGAACTATGCAAGTTAAATGGAATGTGCATTCATTTGGAACCCAAAAAGAGAGAATGGTTCCTAGAGGAAGGAATATCAGTGTTGATGCTTGTGACAGGAAGTAAGTGTGCCACCATCTTGCGTATACTGTTTGTATGGCTATTCAGAAGTGTGACGGACCACCTGGCACTCCGACTGGGTAACCTCCGCCAATCGATGCTTCCTAGCTAATGCTGAGGACCATAAGCACCGCACCGGACACCATAAGTACCGTAGACCCCACGAACCTGACGTAGCTTGGTTGGGGTCTCGCTGTCCCTTCCCACCCTGGACCAACTCCTGGATCCAGGGACTCAGTGGGAAGGCCTCTCCTCCAAGAGAGTATAGCTGTGAAGCTCTTATAAGAGCTAGTGATATAGCTGTATAGAGGTTCCCTACAATCACAAGATGAGGCTAGGGTCAAGCAGGAATGGTTTAATGGTAGCCACACTGGCCTTTTATGACAGTCCCCATGCATGGGTTACACCCACATGGACCTTGTTGGGGACAGGGACACAAACTTACAAACCAATGATAACATGTTTACAATGTATGACACTCCCACATACAATACAATAAGCCTTCCCCTTTACTTAGGAGATAATTGAGTCAAGCACTATACCAAATTTAATTATCTCCAAACACAAAAAACACACATTTTTACAAACCCCCCAAAATACCGTAAACACATAAAATCGCGATAAAAGTTACACCTAGATCAGTTCAGGGGTTCAGAAATTTTTTGGAAGCCATTGTTTTTTTGTAATATAATTTTTATTGTTCTTTTTTGTCTCAACTGTTACAAAGTGTGAGTTCTCACAGAAAAAGAGAATAAAATACATCAATGTTCAATGACATAGCAAAGTAACCGTTTTACATTTAAAGTATTGTGATATTAACTTGCAGACCTGTCCAGGATGGTTCTTGTGTCACCATAGGGGTGGTTGTCAGGGTTTTGAATCTCAATCTCATTGAGGGTGTTAGTGATCTTAGTGGAGGTGAGTTGATGATCGGGGGTTTTGGTTGGGCAAAGTGTGTATTTCCAGTGGAGGGCTAGGAGATTGTGGGCAGCTAGAAGGGTAATTGCACTCAGCTGTTTGTGTGCATTGTCTAGTAGGAGAGGGAACAGCATTAGTAGATATGTTTCGGGTTTCCCGGTATGACAGGAACCTGAAGGGCGAGTAGGGTGTTTTGTACCTCCGCCCAGAGGGGTTGGATGTTTGGACATGTCCACCACACATGAATGATTGTGCCCTCCGCTTCGGAACATCTCCAACAGAGTGGTGATATAGTTGGATATATTCTGTGAAGCTTGTGTGGAGTCATGTAGCACCTTTATAATAGCTTTCTGTGGGCGTCTATGTATATGTAACACCTTGTCCATCTAGACAGATCATTAAGGGCTTTCATCCATTTGCCATTGGAGAGTTGGACAGAGAAATCTGTTTCCGATAATGATTTGCAGTGCGGTGATTTTTGAGGCAAGGTTTTTCCATGCCTTGTAGCAGACAGAGACTGCCTTCGGTTTCGCAGGGGCTCCCCAACATCTTTCCACTATTGCCATAGATGAAAGGGGGTTTTGGTTAAGGGTTTATTGTTGTAATTGTACATGTGAGGCAATAATCCCTTTAAGTCATAGATAAGTGAATAAGGTGTCAGAGGGTAGGTTCCATTTCGTTTGCATTTCTGGGAATGACATCACACCCTATGTGTTAAGTATTTGGTGGATGTAAGTGATTCCCACTTGTAGCCATTTCTGGAGGGGGGTATCTGTTGCCTTAGGGCTGTCAGGGGTTCCCTAGTGTGAAAGGTATTTTTATTCCCCAGGGTGTCAAAGAAAACAGTCCAGTATTTGAGAGTAAGCATTGTGGTTGGGAGCAGTTCAGGCTTGGGTGTGCTGAGATGTCTGGGTGTCCACAGGTAGTCAATAATTTTGTTTCTATAGAATTGTGCACTCTCCATGTCTACGAAGTTTCCCTTCTGGGGAGTGTAGGAGTATTCCCATTAATAATGCCGAGGATTTGTAGTATAGGCCAATGTTGGGTAGACACACTCCTCCTTGTAAAGCGCCATGATCCCCCCTCTAGTCTCGGGGGAAAGCCGTATTTCACGAGCACCCGCTGCATGTATGCCCAGTTGAGTCGGTCAAAGGCCTTCTCCGCGTCCAGTGCGAGGAGGAGGCCCCCAACCGAGCTGTGCTCCATGGTCGCCAGTAGTGTTTAGGAAGGCAATCCTCGAGCGGCTGACTTTTGTTTAAGCTGCAAAGCTAATTTTGCTCCCACTCTGTTTTCTGAAGCAAAGAATTTATGTTTAGCTTTTTGTAGAATATATGTTGTTTTAGCCAATTCTATGTCTCGCAGCATGGTCTGCAACTTAAGCAAGTTAGCTTGCGTAGCGTGTGTGGGTGATTGTTTCGGTGTGTTAGTGAGGTGATTTCTGCAAATATAGCCTGATATTGGGCTTGGCGTAGTTTTTGGCATGGTTAGCATGTTTTATAAAGCTACCTCAGATCACTGCTTTGTGTGCTAACCATATGTGGTCTGGCGTCGTGTCTGGTTGAGTATTCTCTGCAAAGTAGTGTTGAAGGTCTAGTGTAATTTGGCAGATTATAAGTAGTGATGTCGCGAACATAAGATTTTCGGTTCGCGAATGGCGAACGCGAATTTCGGCAAATGTTCGCGAACCCGCGAACCGGGCGAACCGCCATAGACTTCAATAGACAGGCGAATTTTAAAACACACAAGATGTTTCAAGGGGACTAACACCTGGACTGTGGCATGCAAACTCCGATCCGCGGCTGCATCTTGCAGCCGCTTAGTAGATAACTCCCTAATTCCCACGGTATTAGGGAGTTATCTACTAAAAGGCTGAAAGACCTAAATTGGTCTTTCAGCCACATTTACTAATACGAAGTAAAGATTACTTAGTATTAGTAAATGATCTGCCCCTACTCGCTATGCAGCGAGTAGGGGCATGTCTAGTAAGCAGTGAGCAGCCAGTGGCTGCTCACTGTAAAAAAACAAACAAACAAAACTATTAGCTCCCACCCCTGTGCAACGGGTGGGGGCCATTAATTACAATGGGGGGGAGGCCCTACTGTCCTCCCCCCCGGCCCCCACCCCTGCGCGGTGGGTGGGGGCCATAAAAATAATGGGGGGGGGGACCTACTGTCCTCCCCCCTGGCCCCCACCCCTGAGCGGTGGGTGGGGGCCCTAAATTGGAATAAGGGGGGGACCTAAGGTCCTCCCCCCTGGCCCCCACCCCTGAGCGGCGGGTGGGGGCCCTAAATACTAAAATGGGGGGGACCTAAGGTCCTCCCCCCTGGCCCCCACCCCTGAGGTGACTAGGGGTCCCCAAACCCCTAGTCACCCCCTCCCCCCCAAAAAAAAACATTATCCCCCTACCTACCCCCCTCACCCTAAAAATAATAAGGGGGGGCACCTTTAACTAAGTACCTGTAAAAAGAAAAAAAAACAACTTACCATTCGATGTTTTCTTTCTTCTAAATCTTCTTTTTTCAGCCCCAAAAAAGGCCAAATAAAAAACCATAATAACCGGCGCAATTAAAAAAAACAAAAAAAAACCGAGCGCAAAAAAAAAATAATCCATCTTCACCCGGTGAGGGCTCCGCGCAGACTGAGCTCTGCAGGGCGGGGGAAGGCTTATAAAGCTTTGCCCCGCCCTGCAATTA